CTTCATTTTTATGATCAGTGTAAACATAAACAAACCTTGTAATCAATGTAATCAATCAATAAAGAGCTAGTCCAGTCAAAGTCCAGTCAAAAAACATACAGAAAGTAAAATTATTATGTTTATTGGGATCAAAAATTTAAAGAGAAGCCAGTGTCATACTAAACTGTCTAATTAAACTGATGCATGTACACCTTCAATTTGGAAATCTTTTCTGTTCTCAACCTTCAGTTCAATGGGAGAGCAACTAACAAATAAACTTCACGATAGCCTGTTGTATTACTAGAGAGAACACAATGTCTATATATGTATAGACAAAATTATGACTCATTTATGATGCTAATAAACTTTGTAATCCAACAACTACTTCACATAATATAAGAGGATTTGTTACATCTATCCTTTAGTCAGCCTGTAGCAGTGAGCAACCACGTTAACAGCGTGTTTTTCACTAAGCAGGATAAGAGGTGAACAGCATTGAAGATATGCCTTTTTTAAGATCAATTTATATACTAAATGAAAAGCAATCATGTCTGTTCCATAAGTAATCAACCAAAAGGCAGATATTTGTTCCAGTATATGTCAGACATGTTGTTCTTCAGGTCAAAACAGGATTGGTGGTAGTGGTAAGACAGATTTAACCAGCCATGTCTGGCCCTGGAAACCAAAGTAATCAGATTTTTCTAAAGCCATGGAACATGTCTGCCAAGACTCAACATTGGGGGTGGGTTCAGTAGTTCATTTGTGATGTGTGCATCAGGAAGGCTTCTGATTGGCTCATGCAGCCCATCCCCCAAGAGACACCCCTGTCTCTGAGGTGATGAAATGAATGCCTTCATGACCTCAGAGAGAGTTCCTGGGAGAGATCAGGCTACCCCGGTCTCAGCGAACCACCTCCTTCCTTCCCCTCTCTCCCTCTCACGTGTTGGACATGAGGTAACACTGCAGGTCCATAGCTGCAGCAATAGAGAAGATATCAGCCAGCACCCACCGACACCCACACACAAACACAAACGTGCAGAAGACAGACAGACACACATACATGCTTACACAGAAACACACAGTTCATGAATGCAGAGAGCAAATATTAACCCAACCACATAAACAAACAAAGCAGAAGGTCATACAGACATCTGTTGTAATAAATGAAATCAAGTACAGTCTGTGTCAGTGTTTACAATTTCATTGTCTTAACACTTAAATATGCTTCTGTTTCATTCATAGACATGCAGTCAATGTGACGCAATAAATATTCAATTAGGTTCAGCCCAGGAAGCTGTTTATTGCAGTACACTGCATGTACAGTATGTCTTTTAATTACTTATTAATTACTTTAATTAGTCTAAAATGAATAATTTGATATTATATAGAAAAATAAAGTCTATCTTTAAATTGTAGATAAGACTTAATGAAGGATAGAAATTAATATGGAAATAGTTAGAGGACAAATTGAGAGAAGGAAGATGAATATAATAAAATAGAGGGTATAGTTTGGCTAATTCCTTTTAAGTCTATTTTCTGAGTTAATAAACTTGCTTGTCTCTCAGTCTTTACTGAAAATGTTCCTTTATTCACCATAAGTCACATTGAATCCACCCTGCACCCTGAAGTAAACCAGTTCTTCTCCTGACCTCTACAACTTGTTTTCTCTGCCATGCATCCAAATTCACACAAACATTAACATTCTGCAAATTCTCTCTCAAGCCTACTCTTCTGTCCCCATATTCTCCTCTCTCTCTCTTTGAGTGTCCCACCTCTCCCCTCCCTCTCCCCCTCTGGCTGGCTACTTGTTGCTCCCTGATGAATGACTCAGTTCTTAGAAAAACCCCAACACGTGTTTCCTTGTTCCCGCTCCGGCTGCCTGGTGTTGATAGTGTGTGCGTGTGTGTGTGTGTGTGTGTGTGTGTGTGTGTGTGTGTGTGTGTTCAGTGCAGTTACACAGGACAAGTATTTGTGTATTGACAGACAGCACAAATTGATTCAGAGAGTCAGGAACTGTATCACATGTTGGGACTGGAGTTTCATGCACACCACACACACACACACACACACACACACACACACACACACACACACACACACACACACACACACACACACACATATAAAACAGATTCTCTCCAGGCCCTCATTCCTCGAGAGATGTTCCATCTACTATTCTTTCACTGTGCACATGTTGAGAAAGTTATGGTGTGTGTGTGTGTGTGTGTGTGTGTGTGGGTGTGTGTGTGTGTGTGTGTGTGTGTGTGTGTGTGTGTGTGTGTGTGTGTGTGTGTGTATTGTTTTACCACTGTCTAAAAGAGGTCTAGAATAACAAACAGGAGGAGTTGGATGTGTGTGTAACTTGGTGACTGGTTCTTAGAATCACTGAAGAACAACAAAACACCCTGAGACCCAAGTCAGGGAATAGCACCTTATATAACCTTACTATAATCAGATTACAGAGGTCAGGAACAAATTAGTGTTAAACTACTAACTATTAAGAAAAACACAGTCCATGTGTAGTGAAATTAAATCATAGGCGTTTAAGTAGTGTTTATACTATGTAACTTTTTTGTTATCCCGAAGGAAATTTGGTTTGCAGCCATGCATTAAAGATACAAATCCCATGATGAAGACACAATAAACAGCAGTTTATCATGAAATCAAACATTTATGGTTAGAAATCTCATTTGGATTTGGACTTTATAACATCTTAGTAGAAAAGAAATATGTTATGCATTTGAACAAAGTAGGCTCTCCCCGCACAGAGTATTTTCAGGTACTTTGAGGAGTTTTGTTTGTTTGTTTTTTTTTCTTGAAGCGTCATAGCTATTAAATGTCAATGCATATTTGCATATTTATTTGAACAGGTCTAAACGTGCCATGAACTGACAGCTGATTTATATGAGTTCTGGTTTATCTGATTGATCTGAAGTTACCATCAGACACCACTGCACTCTGTTTAGTCAACTTCTGTCCCTGTGTCTGTCACTTTCTCTCATAAACATATATTTTTATTGTCCCTCTTTGATTAACGTGACAGTATCTGTCAGGTTTGCCTTCTCCTTCTATTTCTCCAAAGGGCACATACATGCCATGCCATGCCAGGAGCACTTTACATGTTACACATATTGTACTTTGATAAGCAATAAAAACACAGGTGATGTACAGCAGGACAGTGAAGGAGAAAGATGATGCTACATGCATCATCTTATTTGTCTGTTAGCAAAGACTAAACCTTCTCTTCAGGCTTCTCTCTTTCTCTAACTTGTACCATAGGCTACATACATGCATTACAATTTTACCCGTATAGCTGTCAATATATGTCAAATAGCATGTATGTTATTTTAATTATGTTTTTGCTTAAAGGAATAGTTTGACAGTTTGAGTTTTCTAGCTGAGATTTAAATGGAAGGACTGATACCATTCAAATCAATCTCTTCATTATGAAACTGAAGCAGTTAATTAGCCTAGCTTATTGCTTGACAACCTCCTTTTTACACTATGATTTTTATTAACAAAATGAGACAGATTTATATCTTCAGACAGAGCTGTTACCTCCTCTTTCCAGTACTTATGCTAAGCCATGCCAACTGGCTGCTGCCTCATATTTACCATATTACATTTTGAGAACTGAAACACAGTCAGTACATTGCACAAATACAGATGCCGCCTGAATGTCACTGCTATTCTTATCTCTGCTCCACATGGACTTGTATTTCTTCAGAATACAAACAAGATCCTGTTTGCTGGTGCTCTTCTTTCAGTCATACACAAGTAGAAATTTTGTATGTGTGTATGATTGTAAGATTTAGCCAACTCTGCAGAATGTAGTTCATAGTGTGTGGTCTGGGTAACTATGTTTTCACATGTTGTTTACTATTGTTTTTATGGTTAAAATGGGAACTGATACAGAATGGAATTTTAAAGCATTAACATTAAGGGGAACATAATTCTTTAACCAACATAAACATGACAGTGGTAAACTTTCCCACTGAAGATTCTCATTTAACCTCATGCGGCCTCAGATACTGTCCCTGCCTTTAACTTATTGTATGAAAACTAAGCACTTATTGTTAGATGTTATAGATAATAATGTGCAGCTTTAATGAGCTGTGTTCAGTGACCCTGTTTGACCCTGTTTGACTTTGCCTGAGGGCACAGTGCACAGTGACAAAAAAAGAAATCCTTTCACTTACAATTAATATTGACAACAACAATTACAGCATATTTTCCACTCCAATTTAAGAAAACAGGAATGCAACACATTCACTCTCCTACTCAATAGACATTCAGCATCAGAGAAAGAAAAGTAAAATAAATTGGGTGCCACTTTTTAATACGGCATCCTTTATAAAGAGTTTTACATTGTAACTAATTTTAGTCATTAATATGTCAGGTCATTTTCACTTTCTAATAATCAGCAAAAGTCAGTAAGTCATCTATAATTATACATGTTAATATATCATTAATAAAGGGTTCTTACAGTAGTCCAAGTGTACAGTTGTAAATGTTAATACATTGTTAATACCTTAATTTTGGCCTAGAAGTCCTGCAGCCCTTTCCCACAAGGTTAGAGGTCAAACAGTGGATTAGAGGGACCTGTCTGTTAAATTAATGCTGAAAAGACACAGCAAGTGTCATGGAAGAGGATAAATTCTAGTCTCTATAGCAATCCAAAATTAGGTCTTCATTAGGGCTTATAACTGTTTGTTTTTTTTATTTAAAAAATGTAATTAAATTAAAAAGTAGCCTATAAATAAATGATTTATTAACCAATGATAAATACTAATTTGAGAGCGACATAAGTTAAATATAGCCTATAGGAAAGATATATGAGTTATAAATACCGACATGATATAATCATATTGTAGATGATTTTAAGAGGGAAATTTTCAGGCAACATTGTGTGTCGTCACCGCCGGCTCAGCCAATGGGGTCTGTCTGTGTTTGCAGTCCGGTGGCAGAGGGAGGAATATTTTAACCGCGGTTTAAATAGCGAAGCAGCCTCGAGCGGACAATCCAATATCATATGCCAGTAAAAGCTTAGCGAGGCTGTCTGTAAGCGACAACATGTGATTTGAGGACTGACACTTAACGGGACTAAAACTGCACCGGACGTTTGGTGGAAAATTTTGAATGGCGGAAAATTCCCTGAGCGAGAATCGACGTGAATAAATAATGTAAGTGAAGACAGAATCGCGACCATATAATCTGCTGTCAGGACATATCGAAGGATTTAAGAATTCTTAAAACCTATTTGCTCAATATTAACCCGAGCCTCTGTGTCGCGGTGGTGTTTGTGTTGCTGCTGTTTGAATGAAGGCAGAGCTCCCGTGCACACTGCAGAACCTCACCCCGTGTGCAGATGTTTACATGTCGCCTCACAGGCCACACATGATACTACGACCAGTTTATGAGCCTCATGTTGGTGCAGCGTTTTTCTTTAGGTTCTTTTATTTTCTTCGGTTTCTTCATAGCTGGTGTCATGTCCAAAAATCAATTGTATTTTCGTCTATTTGTGTTGTGTTTTTTTTTAGTGCAGAAGAGGAAGGAGAAGGTTATGTATAAGTAAACATGTATATGAAATTATAAACGCTATCAAAAAGCAATGAATAGATGTCATTTAGGTGTAACAGTCAGTAACACTGGAATGTCAGACTGCTGCTCCAGTCAAATTGATTTAATTGTATAATCTCTTACACATCATCATCTGTCTGCAAATCCTTCAGCCTCTCTGTTTCCCCTGTCTGCCTCTCCTGGTGGTGTCACTGTCCTTACTGTAGTGAGAGGGAAGCTGAAGTTTTACACGGACTAACTTTTAACACAGAAGCCTCTGTGGGGATTGTAAGACACACACTGTGAATGTAGCTCTGACTCAATGTTGTTATTCACTTGCCTCAGAAATAATAGCAGCTATTTAGACAAGGTTCCTTTAATGTTTTGTTGTTTCTTTACTGAAACAATACAGCAAGTCCACTGAGTGACCCTATGAGTTGTCTCGTGATTGGCTATTACATAATGGAGGAGCACTGTGATTGGCTGTTCTCCAAAGTCCTGGAAGAGTATGTTAGTTGGTGTGTGTGTGTGTGTGTGTGTATGAATGGCCCCATCTGTCTGCACGTGGCCTACGTTGACTGTGATTTCAGTTCAGTGGCATGCCCAAGAATATGCATGTGCATATACTGTACATACTGTATTTGTTTGTCCAAGACATAGAAAATAAATAGATAAGGGAGGGAGAGGGAGAGAAAGGGGTCAAATTATTATGTAAACATTGTCAAGCAATCTCACTACCAGTTCTTGAACTATAAGTCACAGCAAGAGATTAAAGGATCAGGTGACTCAAATGACAAAAAAAATCCACCCCAAATAATAGAGGTAAATAGATTTTTGTTTTTTATGCTTTCAACGTGTCATTCCAGAAACAAATGTCCTAGTTGCACTGGGTAATCCTCACTATGAACAGTGTAATTGGAACTACTCACTCCTGAAGAAATAGTCCCCCATGAAAATCAAAACTATCTGTGTGGCTAGATATTGCTTAGGTTGAAAAATATGTTTGTTTTAATTTGTAGTGACCTGTTTGAGAGAGTCTGTTTATATGAATTATGTACATGTGATATTTTTGTATAAATAAACCTCATTGTAATCTGATGTGATTTAAGTAGAGGTACTAGGAGGCTAAGTCTGGACAGAGTGTAATCATTGGTTTAGTGACAGTGTTCTGCTGTGTTGTTATAGCAGGCTGGTCAGGACAAGCCTGTGATGACTATCTTATCATGCAGCTCTTGTGTGTACATACAGTATAATGCTGGGTCATTAGAGCAGAACAGCCCCAGTCTGTGATTCACAGTAACTGATGCGTGTTAACAAATCATCCTCATCATTAGAGTGTTCTTACATGGTCTGCCAAAATATTAGACCATCTGTCCCGGAGGCACGTTGTAATGATGTGTGTGTGTGTGTGTGTGTGTGTGTGTGTGTGTGTGTGTGTGTGTGTGTGTGTGTGTGTGTGTCTGTGTGTCTGTGTGTATGTGTGTATGTGTGTGTGTTTGTGTAAGGGGCAGAAAGAAGAGGAGATAGAAGATGCCAGTATCTGAGTCAGCATAAGCAGGTGGCATGTGCAGATTTCAAGGGTCACTTTGTTGTACAGACAAGACAGTGATATCCTCTTAGCTTCGTCTTCTTCTCCCCACTTTCTTTCTTTCTTTCTTTCTTTCTTTCTTTCTGTATTTGTTTAAAAGCATAAAATACCAACAAAGTTTAAACAATACTATTCACTTCTCTTGGATACTGTATGCGTTTTCTTTCTCTTTTCTCTGTTCTTTTCTTTTCTTTTCTCTTCTCTTTTTTTAAAATCTCCTCCCTGAATCAACAGCCTCCCATCTCGCAGCCCAGTGAATGCGTTTCCCTGTGTGTGTCTCCCTCCAGGGCCGTGTTTGGCATTCTAAACAGAGAGCATTACAGGCTGAGGTTCAGAGAGACTGTCACTGCACCACATGATTAATCTCGTCCCTGATGGAATGTATTGGCATTGCACAGAATAAAAGGCACTTTTGTGTTTCCATTATGATTTTTGATTTCAACACACAGAGAAAGAAAAAAGGAAAAGCAGAATGTTTTCATATCCATGCATCCACACAGAAATCACACCCACAAATATAACCCACACTCAGCAACACCACAAGAATAGAAAGAAGAATGTGAAGACTCTCTTTGTGTCAGCAACCTGCCTAACATCCGAGATCGCAAGAGTGGCTTGAATGTGTGGGCAGTAACTGAACTCAGTGGATCAATAATGTATTTTAATGTGGCAGGACTATAGTCCATCAGAGGTCCATTGTCCTGCCACTGAGTGTGCTCTCCATTATATTAAGGGTCTGAAATGTAAATAAAACCTTATTTAATGGACAGAAGAAGAGAATAAGTAGAAGAACTGTCATCTTTCTCCTCTTTCTCCCTCTCTGTCTCCAGTTACAGACCATGAACTATGTGGGTCAGTTGGCGGGCCAGGTGTTTGTGCAGGTCAAGGAGCTGTACAGAGGACTCAACCCTGCAACGCTGTCTGGATGTATAGATGTCATTGTGGTCCGGCAGCCTGATGGCTCCCTGCAGTGCTCCCCCTTCCACGTCCGCTTCGGCAAGATGGGTGTTCTGCGGTCCCGCGAGAAAGTGGTGAGATTAGAGTGCTTCCTCCCTCCCTCACACCTTCCCTCCCTCACACCTTCCCTCACAATTAGACTCTTTTTCTTGCTTTTCATCTGTATGTACAGTGTGTTTGTGTGTACAGGTAATTTGAGAGTTTTAATCAGTGGGGGAGAAAGTATTCAGGTCTTTTACTGGTTAAATCTACAGTGAAAATTCAACTGCCCTGACCACCAACTGTGCTGAAAAAAAGGAAATAAATAATTACATTTTAATAAATACACACAAAAAATCTGAATCAAAAAGTAGAATATAAAAGGTATTAAAAGTATACAAATAATGTAAGTACAAGATTGTGCAAATACGGATATAAAAGCAGCAAAAGTAGACCTTCTGTTGCCAGGATGTGCATCCAAACAAGCATGTAGCAAAAGCTGACAGTAGTTCAGAGTTTATATCCCGTATGGCTTGGGGGGAAAAGCTCCTTCTCAGCCTCTCAGTTCTTGCTTTGAGGGAGTGGTTACGTCTGCTGGAGGGTCACCACCGGAACAGACCATGATTAGGATGTACAGTAGATGTCCTCGAGGGAGGGCAGAGTAGTCCCTGTGATACGCTCAGCACACTTTATCACCATGTGCAATGCCTTCTTATCCTGGGAGAAGCAGTTGCTGAACGAGGCTGTGATATAAGCAGAGAGCACCGACTCATTCGTGGCAGTGTAGAAAGTTTTTTGCAGCACTGAGATTTTGAATTTTCTCAGCCAGCTAAGATGGTACAGGCGCTGCTACCCTTCCTTACCTGCTTAGTTGTGTCCATTGACCAAGTCAGGTCCTCTGATATTTACATGCCCAGATACTTATGAATACACACACTCTCCATCTTAGTCCCATGTATCTCCAGTGGTACGTGCTGTATTGTCTACCTTTCTCATTCGAAAGTCCACCAACATCTCCCTTGTTTTGGAGACATTCAGGACCAGACTGTTGCCCAATGCCAGCCCCTCCACCGCTCTCCAAAAGGCTGCCTTGTTGTTGGTCTTGATCAGCCCCACAACCACTGTCTTATCAGTGAATTTCACTATGGTGTTTGAGCTGTGAGTGGCTGTACAATCATGCATGTATAGGGAGAAGAACGAAGGGCCAACAAAGCACGGAGCAAAATTATGATGAAGTTTAATGTGCAATGCAGGAACATTATAGCATAAATGTTACTCTGAAATTAAACAGTACTGCATTACAGTACATTAAAAAGGATTGATAGTATTGCATTCTAAAGGTATGCATTTGAGAGGTAAAGAGAGGAGGTGTGATGAACAGAGCTGGAAGAATCTTATGGTACTTGCTCTCTGTTAGATGAGATGGATATTGATTTACAAAATCAAAAGTTACTGAGTATGTCAACACAAAATGTGGTTGAGTTTGTTGCATGCTAATGAGGTTTAAAACATGTTAAAGTTCTCTTTATTCTGTTATTCTGCAGGTGGACATAGAGATCAATGGAGAGCCAGTCAGTTTGCACATGAAGCTGGGAGAGAATGGAGAGGCCTTCTTCGTCAGAGAGACAGAGAACACGCTGGTGAGTAATGATTCACAGTCATTTTTCAGACTCTGTAAGCACGCACAAATATAGGATGGAACATAACTTACTGACGTGAAGGTCGCAAAGCCTGAGCTAAAATACAGGCAGTGCTTGATTTGGACTCATTAAATTCTTGCCCTCTTGCTTTATGGAGGTTCTAACTGGTTTCACTACTTACTGATTAATCCAGAAAACACATGCTATTGTTATTTTAATTGCTTGATTGCTAGTTTTCATGCCCAGACAAGTCCAGAGGAGGCAGAAATGTGCCCGTCCTTCCCTGTAGCCTGAATACAGCAAGAGACCAAGTTCTGCCGGACAGCTGCTGGAACTGCAAAACATTTTTCAAAGCATTTTGTAATTTTATTTAGCAATTATTTAACCTGGAAAGCTTTAATGTGATTAAATATATCTTTTTCAAGTTTGTCCTGGCGCAGATAGTAGAGTTATAGGCAATACAAAATAAGACAGACACAAAATATGCCAAATATAATTTCTTACATAATCATGCACTTTCTAAAACTGTAAGAATAACATAAATAAAACATCAGCAGACAGAAGAGAGAGCACCCAGTTTTTTCAGCTGTGATAACATTTAGGGTAGACCAAATTTTGTCATTTTATGTTTTAGTATGTGTGTTGCAGTGGGTTTCAGGCAGAGGGTGCAGCGTAAAAGTTCTTTTATCCACTTCAGGGTGAACTTTGGAAACTGGAAACTGAAAATTCGCATAAATAATGTGGATTTAAACTGGTAAGGAATATTTTGTACTATTTAAAGTTTTGTAGTTTTTTATATACAAAGGTGCCTGGAAAGCAACCCCTGGCACTACATCACAATGTCCTACTTTGGTATGAGTGTGTTTATTACAGTGTGAAGGCAGAAGGTGAAATATGAACCAGCTGTTGATACTGCTTTGAGAATGGATTTTACAACCTTGGAAAGATTTTCATTGCAGCACAGATATTTTACTTCATCAAGATACTGCAAGGTGCTCGCTACAATGTATTCTACTTAGTATATGTGCTTTCTTGTATTCAATTGGCCAATGTGATGCAGTGTCAGACGGCATCAAAGTGCACTGTGGAAAATACAGAACCAGAAGCAACTGCACAACCCTGTGTTCTTTTGAAAGCCACCTTGAAATTGTCAGTGTGAAAAGGCCCTTAGTAAACCGGACAAATAAGCCTCACCCATTGAAAACCTGCAGTGCAAGTGCTAAACCACTCCATTCAACTTCAAGCAAGGCAGTGCAGTGAGCCAAGCAAACAATAACAAGTACAGTAAGTATAAGGAACATATGGAGGGGAGAGACACCAAGAGGAGAAAGAAAGGAAGAAACAAACAAAGATGTGCACATGTAACGCAGATAAAATTATGTGATCATATGGGGATCTTGGCAGAAAGATGGATGACCTTACCACTCAAATGACATATGTTCAAATGACATGTCTATTTTGAATGGAAAGCAAAATCACATAACAATCCGCTGAGAGACTCTGTTTGTATAAAAGCAGATGAAGACTTAAGCATCTGAAATATAAGCTGAGGACAACAAGGAACAAGATCCTCCGTCCCCTTGTGGCATCCTGTTGACCAGCATGACTTTAGTTTCCTGGAAATAAACCAACCGAAAGCATACGTATTTGGAGGTACAGTATGTGCAGCACAAACAGCAGAAAATAATCTGGCGTGGGAACATTTCCTTTAGTTGAAACAAATGATTGTGAAAGGTGATAAGCAAGGATTCATGGGAAGTGTGTGTGTGTATGTGTGTTTTTTCTCATCAGAGGGATTACATTGGCTCAATTTGACTTACTGTCTCTGCCAAAGATTAGGAGCCCCTCTCCAGCAGTCAGTAGGTGCCATAGTTTCTCTTCAGAGTGGGTCCTGTAACAATATTGCAGGAAAACAAAGACTTTTAATTTTTATGCCTCAGAAAATTCAAAGAAAGACTGACAGTTATTAAATTCTGTTCGACCATGTCTGTTATACTGTTTTGGTCTTGTGTCACATCCTCTCCTTGACATAACTGCCCTTGCACAGAGTGGAAAACCACCAGGAGGCTATTTATAGCTCTGCCAAATTCACCTTCTCCACAGTCATTTGCACGCAGCCTGCTCTCAGACACTGGCTACCACTGATCTGTGTACAGTCCGCACAGACCGGAAGACAGACGTCAGACAGACATACAGATATAGTGAGAGAGGAGCAGGACAAACAGGATCCAAAGCTACGACAAGATGAAACACACGTTATCTATCCTCCATAAGTGTTTTGTTCCAGTAATGGTCTACGTTATCACCTCACCCATCTGAATGTAAAAAGATCAACAACATTTTTAAGGAACTGATTGGCATCAAGCCCAGTCTTCTTCTGTCCTCTGTTCCTCAGGGTGTAAGGTTAAACGTAAGGATTTGTTGGAGCTTGTGTGTCGGCAAATAGATTCTGCACGTGAAACAGTAACCAAATGTTCCAGCAGGAATGAATCTACAGGCTACAACATCAACACTTTCTGAATACTTGTGGTTAAAAATAAAAACACATGGTGGAAACATGAAAATGAGTGCAATTGTTTCCTGTTTATTTCATTAATATATAACCAACTTTCAATTCACAAATCCCTGTGACAGATGCCAGGGATTTAAAATGTTTTGTGAAATGTTTTCCCTCAGTAACTATCAGTCTCAGGTTTGACATCATGTTGTCTAGTTTTTGTAAGTGGGTCTGCAGCGTGGGTGAAAACAGTCCATCTGAAAACAGAATCCACATATGTCACATGTATTACTTTGATTCAGTGTGCAGAAAATCCTATGCACAGAAATAACATTTGTGGCTTTGAGAGAAAGGGTTGTGGTAGTAGTCTGAGGTGCAGAAAAACATTTGAATGATTTAAAAGTGGTTTTGGAGCTGAGAGCGGATGAGTTGTGACCTGGCGTCGTGCACATTCTGAGCACTGTCCCTTTTCCTCTCCCATCAAATGAATTGGGCTGTTTGACAGTGTTAAGACACGTGCACTGCAAAGCATGTGTCAGTCTGCACCGTTCAGATCATCTCTTATCTTACTTATCTCGCTGTGTGTCTGTCTTTCTCTTCCTGGTATAATCACTGTAGTGAGACTGATGAGCAAATCTGTGTGATTTTGCTAATCTGAGCTCAAACCCAAATTCCCACCAGATTATTTAGATCCACATGGGAAAAAAAGTGTTTCTGTTTCATCAATCGACGTTTCTACTCTGTAATAATATGCATATGATATTTTTTAGCAGCATGGCTCTTGACATGGCAATAACTGTCTGTTGGTTGATCTCACCACCATTGTGGTCAAGACTTAAATATCTCATTACTGCAGGTATTTTACATCAAATCTTGTTAATTGAGTAAGAAGATAATCAAGATTTCTGTTCATACTGACCTTATATGATAATTTCATGTTCTTCTGTTGACAGGAAGTAGTTCCATCCTACCTGGCGACATCACCCATCATGTCAACAGGGGAGGAGTTAATGGAATCCCAGCTGGGGAGGGGCAGTTCTCGTCACCATGGTAGGCCCTAATAAAAAAATTAAAAAATGAATTTGTATTGTATTTGTGTTTTTTTTTTCATGCTACTGTCTCACATCACATAGATACCACCCCGTGCAGCTCACTTCCTGTCCAGAACCTGGGACCTCAGCAAAATGATGGAGCGATGACCAAGAAGAGGAGGAAGAGGAGGAGGAAGGCACGGCCAGAGGGAGGCGGAGGAGGGAGGAGAGAGGAGTGCGGGGAAGAGTTCTCGGAGGATGAGGACATGTTTACTATTGACTTGAGCTCGGATGAGGAGAGAGAGGGTGACGACAGCAGGTGTGTGTGTGTGCATGAGAAAATGTGTGATTGTGTGTTTGAGGCTTTCAGTCATGGCAAATGCAGAAATCCCTTAATATTTCCAGTGTTTCTGAGCCAAAAGATTATGGGCTTTCCTCTCTCTGTTAGAGGAGTTTGAGGTGCCTTTTTCTGCAGGTCATTGTGTTAGTGTTAGTGTGTGTGTGTGTGTGTGTGTGTGTGTGTGTGTGTGTGTGTGTGTGTGTGTGTCAGAGAGAGGGAGGCTGAAAAGTTATTAAATGATAGTGAGTCTGTTCCATTGCTGTGGTAAACAACCTTCGTCAGCAGTCACAATGTTGTTTGTGAGGCTGATGCACGAGTGCCAATAACTCTCTAATTGTGTTAAGTGGAGAGACTGCGTGCATATGTTTTCACGCATAAATGAGTGTGTAAGTGGTTGTTTCTAAAAGAAGGGCTTGTGCATTTGCACCACCGAATCAGTAGACAGGAATACAAATAAGTCCTGTAGACTGAGGACATTCTGTTAATGCTCACATTGGAAAATGTCCATTTTTAGCTGTGCCAGCTATGCAGCTCTATGGATGGCAGTGTCGACCAGTGTAATCCAGACTGAAAAATCTAAACAACTTCTGAATGGATTGCCATGACGATTTGTACAAACATTCAAGTACCAGGAGGATGAGTTGAAATGACTTTAGTGATCCCCTGAAAATCATCTAGCCCCACCCTCAGGTTCAGTGCTTACATTTATAACCAAATGCCAGTATCTCTTATTCTTGTAGGGATTTGTGCTTTAATTCTATTTAAGAAGTAAGGGTTAGACTCGCCGAGTTCAGAGAATGATTGTATAACAATCAAAGCGTCAGCAAACCATCTGTGTCACAGCCCTAGAAAACTAATCTTAAGTATTTCTCAATATCATTAATTATTCATGACTAAAAAGCAACAATCAAACCAGTGACAAGGGATCAGGGGAAAAAAAACAGAAACCATCATTTGGCAGAAAATTGTGTGTTAATGACAGAAACAATTATTCAAAGTTAGAAGCTGATTGAGAAAATAGGTTGTTAGGGCCTTTAAACCAATGTTACTTTAATTTTATGTTGCCTCTGCCTCACTTCAGTAAAATCATTTCAGTGTATCAAATCACGTGCTTAAAAAAACAACTTGTATGAGCGGAGATTTCATGCGTGAGTCTGCATGTATGTGCATGCTTGTGTTTATCTGTGTGAAGCCCAGTGAAAACCAGCTCTGCATGTTGGACACGCTCCAGGGATTTGTCCTGTTCCCACAGTGTACTCTGTCTCTTTGAAATAATGGCTCGCAGTGCCGTCCTTACTGCAGGGGCTCCAAGCTTTTTTAGGAGGTTTGCCACATGGCGGGACGGGAAAATTCCTGAGACCCTTAAAGACGTGCAAAAATATGTGTCTGCTTCTTGTTATGCTTCATACTGTACTTGATGAGAAAACGCTGGTTTTTGACTCGTGGTCACAGTCAAACAGGCTGCAGAGGTATAAACAGGTTGTTAATGTTGATTCTATGAGTGTAAACAAACCATGTTTTGCACTGTGTAGTTATAAGGTATGGTGTGTGCACAATGTGTGAATATTGTGTGTGTGTGTGTGTGCATATGACTGACATCTCCCTGCATATGTATGTTTGTGATCAGACCGATGTACGGTGATCAGGGGTCTTCAGCCATCACCCACACACACCCCAGCACTGATTGGACACGTTCAAAGAGGTATTCTTCAGACACAGAACGCACACACACAATACAGACACACACTTTCTCTTTCGTACTCTTTCTTATTTATTCTGTTCATATTGTACAATGCATTTTAATACATTTTCTGTCCTCACAATAAGCAGATGATAATCATGATTCGCTGTCTCTCTCTTTCCCACTCTGTGTCCTCTTTTCTCTGTTTTTTCCTGTCTCGCTGTGTCTTTTTTATCTTCTTGTAGTAATGTGATTAAGGACACTCTCTCCATCCCTCCACCCTGTGGTCTGTCCATCTCTTGTCCTCAGCAGACCTCTCACTACTCTGCCCTTGTTAGGTATCACCTTCAGTTTTATGCTCTCTGAATGCTGGCAATGAATTAATGCACTCATGAGGGAAAAGCACAGTTTTCAGGAAAAGTTTTCAGGAGTATTTTGAAGTATAGCATGCATGATTACTGTTACTTTATCTGTCAAACTGATCTACATCAAGTGTCCATCTCTCTCCCAGCAGCCTTGATGATTCACGGTCATCAACACCAAAGAGCGACTCAGAGCTAACCAGTCAGGTTAAAGACAATCCTGAAATGTTATGGACCTGGGGGGAGCTGCCACAGGCTGCCCAGGTATCCACACACACACATTGCAGAAAACATCTCACTACTTCCTTACTTATTTAATTTATTTTATGCTAAGCTAAGCTAATTGGCTGAAGATTCCAGCTACTTATTTTACATAAAAACATGGTTATATCTATCTTCTCACCCAAAGAAAGCCAGTAGGCGTATTTCCCAAAACGTCAGACTATTTTTCATTGATTTTTCATTCGTTATCACATAAGAAAATATTATATTTTTTATTTTTCATTAAACACTATCTAAATATGAAGAAATAATGTCTTCAAGGCAATAAAATAAAAAAATAGTTTTTGCAAGAGGGAGTGAAGGAAGCCAAGTGTGAGGAAAGAGATAGACTTTACGTGGTAAGATACAGATGGATGTAGAAATAAATGAGATAAGTGAAGAGGGGAAGGCCAGAGAGAAACATAACTTGAGTACAAAAAAACAAAAACAAATATTGTGCGAAAAATTTAGATCTTTGTCTCTGTCTCTCTCATACAGCCATCCTTCCTGACTTCCCACATGAAGCAGGACCCTGCTACAGCAGTGTCTATCCCGGTGTCAGCCAGCACTCACTTCAGAGCCATCAATGACACCGGACCCCCTTCCCTCAATCTCTATACCCCGCAGCCGGGGGAGAGCACCACTCATGCTGGGGACAAGCACACTGAAGGAAGCCAAAATGGAGCCAGAGATAGAGTAACTGCTAAGACTGGGGACATGGCTGAAAGAGAGCAAGGTATTAATATGTAGGACAATTTTGCCTTTTAATGTGCAAAGCATTCTTTATATCTGCAAAGACATTGCCAATTGTCAAGCAGTGTTCATTGTGTAAATTTATCAGTGCTGGTTCTATCATCAGTACCACTGTTAAACTAGATCTCTGGAAAAATAGCAAAAGACAGGAGTCATTTAAAGATAATGTCTTTAGAGCCACAGCTGAAGATGTCTGCAGGTTGCAAACAGCTCAGGGATCTGTAACGTCTCTTTGAGAGTCTTTAGTGACCTCCAGTGGTAATTCTCTGAAATTCATGTTTTGCACATGTGACTTTTAAATGATTCAGGTGTCACATGTTAACTTTTCCATGGATAAACCATAAATCTACAGGACAGAGTCATTTGAGAATTGCAGCATCCTACCTGGACATCCTAAAGTTAACCTCATGTAATAGGAAAAACTTGGTGACCTGTGAGTTTCCTTCCATGCATCAGTTGATTCTCTGCTATTTCTCTTATCCTTAGGGACAGAGGTGGAAAGTGTTCCATCCTGTGCAGAGATGGAGGGTCTCACAGCCTGCTCAGTGTCTCCCAGGATTCTCCCTGATCATCTGGACGAAGGCGGTAATAGAGGAAGTCCCATCAGAAGAACTGATTCACCATCCAAGAAGAAAGGTATTGGGACTCTTATCTGTAAACAATACAAAGGATTTTCTTGAATGGAAAGCATCTGTATGTCTCAATATCATTTTTTTTCCCGCCACTGACAAAGAGCGATATTGTCCCTTTTAGAAAAGAGAAGCCAACACCTAGGTGCTGATGGTATATACCTGGATGACATTACAGAGCTGGAGCCTGAAGTTGCTGCTCTCTACTTCCCTAAAAGGTACTGTTACAAATATATATATGCACAGCACATGATGAGTACAAAACATGCTCCCCCCCAAAAAAAATATATTTATATACACGCTACCTGTATATATTGCTCTCATGTGGTGTAATCCACCCTCTGGTGGTCATCATGGTGCTCAGTAGAGTTGACTGTTTCTCTCTCTCTCTCTCCTCAGTGACGGAGGCAGCAGCTCAATGAAAGGAGACTCAGAGATGATGATGATGGGAGTGCGGAGCGCTAATCAGTCCCCGCAGTCAGTGGGCAGCAGTGGGATGGACAGTGGCGTGGACAGTTTGTCCGACCAACTAGGGGACCTGCCTCATGTCGCCATCTCTTTGTGTGGAGGACTAACTGACAACAGGGAAATCACAAGGGGTAGGTTCAGGAATGAGGAAGGGGACATTGTCAGATGACACTGAACACCGACATGTAACAGCGTGTTCAAGACTTACACCGCAAAGAATATAAGGCATATTTAGCTCATCCGCTGCATAAAAGAAAATGAAACTAGCCATCGTCTATTTCGCATCATGTTACATCTGTAAAGTGATATGCATTTTTTAAAAGAACAATATAATATTTTGAACCAGAGGACCAGAGATAGAAGGAAAAATATTAAGTTATAATGCTGCTAAACTTTTGTGTGTGTGTGTGTGTGTGTGTGTGTGTGTGTGTGTGTGTGTGTGTTTCACGACACAGAGCAGTTCCAGGAGAGGGCAATTTCCTACCAGCAGTTCTCTGAAAACCCTTCTATTATCGATGACCCTAACCTGGTGGTCAAGATAGGAAACAAGTATGTACTACAATATTCAATGTCCTGGTCTGTGTTACACATTTCAGCTGAGTGCAGAAACTATGACAGCCATCTTGTAATTGTTGTTTTAAAAGTCTGCACATATTAATAAACAGTCTTATTTTGTTTTGTCTGCTTTTTAATTTTAGTAGACCTTGTCCAAGTGAATGGGCATATTTACATGTCAGGCAACAATTTCATAATTTAATACCCTTCAAAGGAAATTACTGAACATATAGACATGAGACTGTTATTGATTTTCTCATCAAACTCTTGACAAGAAAGCAAATTCAAATTCAAACCATTTCTTTCAATAGCTTCATCAGCACAGACATAATTACTTTGCTGTAGAATCAAATTTTGTCAGCGTTTTTTTTGCAGATACAACTCTGAGGTATAAAGAATTGCTTATAGTGCTCTCTGTCATCTGATGCAGGTACTACAACTGGAGCACAGCAGCTCCCGTCATGTTGGCCATGCAGGTCTATCAGAAACCTCTGCCGCAGGTAAGACCACCGCAGTGATACATATGTCTTCTATTATCATCAGCGGTGGAGGAAGTTTTCAGATCTTAAATCAAAGTAGCCATTAATGTATAAAAAGTAAATACTCATTATGCAACAGAATGGATCCTCTCAATTTTGTATTATTATATCTTATATTACTGGATTACTATTACTGATGCATTACTGTGCAAACAACATTTTCATATTGTAGTACTTTATATTCTGTTGGGTAGTTTAAAATATAATATAAGAGTTTTTTTGTTTTATTTTGTTTTTGGTCTGAAACAGTGTCTTTTTTATGAGCTCCTGTTTTTTAATGAATCATCTACTACTACACATGTCTCAGGTTATACAGCGTAGTGGGTCAAAAATTCAAAATTACAATATTATCTTGTTAAATTATTTTAATTTGATCATATTGGTGTTACTATGTTATTTGTCAGATGGTGTTTGGTGTCCCTTAGTGTTGTGCAACCCGCTGCATCACACCCCTGTGCAATCCAGAGCATTTTGCAATTAATGCTCCTTAACCTAATGTTTCACTTTGGTTCAGTGTTTTCATTGTCAGCATCCTCTCATTGCCTCATGAAAATTCAACCAAAGGCTACCAAATAAAGTGTGTTCACTTTTGTTTCTGGCTCTCATACTCAACATTCAACAATTTCAGTTATTGTACAGAATATATATTTGATTTTTTACAGCAAACTCAGCAAACAAAGCTGACAGCACTGTTACTGGTGGATACCTAGTCTGATATGCCTTTGGTTAAAATTGGCTCTTGATGAACACACTTGGGGAGGCTCACATCAAAGCTTCCTGTCTTGTACCACAGTGAAATATTGCTTTAAATGGAACTGCTCTCCTAACACTTTAATGATGTCATGTTCTTATCCCCCCTTCTTATTTTTCCCTTTTATTTAAATATTTTCTTTCTCCCACCATCCACCCGATGTTTATCTGTGCTAAGTGTTGGTGTTTGAGTTATGTGTTTTCTGCCTTTGGCCTCTTCTCATACTGCCTCCCTGGTCTGTTTGGCTCCAGCCCGTCCCAGCCTGTATGATGTTTTCTGGCTTTGCTTTGAGTGTTGGTCAGAGCATGTCTTTGTCTGTCTTTTTTTGTCATCATTTCCCACCATTGTCAGCCTGTCTGTCTGACTCACTTTGTCCTTGTGGTGTGTCTTGTTGCATTTTTTTTCCCACTTCAAATTTTGATAAGTCTTTTCTTTTCAGGTTTTACTTTAGATCCTTTGCTCTTTGTTTGTATGTCATCATGTTTTCACCTGTAACTGCATTTTTTGGCAACTTATTTGGATTTCAGTGTGATTTGAGATGTGCTGTTGTACATTGCATTTTGGATTTCAAATTTTTTGTGCTTTCCGTTCATTTGTTGGTTGGTTTACCTCTGTTTTCGGCTTTGCTTTATTTTGAGTTTTTTCTTCTGTTAGTTTTGAGTTGTATGTGCATGGTTGTCTCCAGGCCTCAGTGGAGAACATCATGAAGGAGAAGATGCCAAAGAAAGGAGGACGCTGGTGGTTCTCGTGGAGGAGCAGGAACAGTGACTCCAAATCAGTTAGTATACACACATTGTTAGTGAGATTGTCCCTAGCCTTCAATATATACAGTGTACTACACAGTAAAGAAAGTGAGAGTGAGAGTGGGCATAAGTTTCAGTTGATTAACTCAGTTGTGACGTTTTACCTCTGTGCACTTCAGGACTCAGTGACGGATGCGGGGGACCAAGGAGAGAGCTCACTCACTTTGGCCTCAGTGAACAGGTGACTTCAGAAGTCTTTTTTTTTCTTGTTCTAATTTTTAAATCGTTACATCTCCACATTTCAACACTCACATTCTCATCAGTTTTTAAATACCAAATTGATCGTCTTTGATTTTTCAGGATGAAAGATGAGTCATCCTCGAGTGATGAGGACCACAGATCCTCCAATCAGATGTCAGGATCCTGCCAGTCAGAGCTCCTTATGAGCTCTGGCAGCGTCTGCTATAAGAAGACTCTACGGCTCACCTCAGAGCAACTGGTATGTTGTCCTACAGCTGGTTTCATTGGCCTTAGTGAGGGAAATTCCTGCAGATAAAGAAAAGCAAACAAGTTAGTTTGTGGCAGCTATAAAGCTCTTTAGTGACATATAACATATCTCTCATATGGTTCACTATGAAAAAGCAAGAATGTGAGCAAAATAATAATATCTCTGCTTACAAAAAAACATGGATTGTTTTCTTTACTTGGACCAGTCTCAGGCTATGAGTCCCTGCATTGGAAAAGCAGAGGTGCGATCCGGAGCACCTTGCAACATTTTTTTTAAAAATGGACCACAAGAATAGAAGCATGAGGCTTTACAGGTCACATTTGTATCACTGCAAAAACAAATGTTGGAATGAAAGATAGGTGGCTACTTTTACTGTACCTTTAAATGAAGGAAGTTATTTTCACATTTTAATAGAGAACCAGGACAATGATTTTTTTAGTGTCCCCTCTTAAAATGTCTGTTGCAGCAGATCTTGTTACAAATTCTGGACTACAGTAGAGTGTGAGGAATACCCCGTAGGTTGTTGTGTAATTGTATCTGTTCCTTGTGTGGAGTATGTTACAAGAGTATCACTGAATGGAAATTTCAAGAAAACCTTTGAACCTTCCTTGTTTCAATCTGTGTGTGTGTGTGTGTGTGTGTGTGTGTGTGTGTGTGTGTGTGTGTGCGTGTGTGTGTGTGCGTGCGTGCGTGCGTGCGCGTGTGTGTGTGTCTGTGCTTGCCTCTGTATGCACTGTGTGTTGTGTGTGTTTACAGGCTAGCCTGCAGCTGAAGGAGGGTCCTAACGATGTGGTGTTCAGTGTGACCACTCAGTATCAGGGCACCTGTCGCTGCCATGGCACAATCTACCTTTGGAGCTGGGATGACAAGATAGTCATCTCCGATATAGATGGAACCATCACCAGGTAAGAAACAGCAAGTTAGCCGCCTATTGCAGATGGCCAGTTCAGTTTCAGCTGTTCACCAGTAGATGTCGCACTTTACACCAATTTGGGGTTTGGTTTCTCTTAAGTACATACAGTATGTTAAATGAACTATGTTGTAAATGGGATGGTCATCCATATCTGTTAAATGAGCTCTTCACTACATCTGCACTGTTTGTGTGATATTGCCTCTCTTGTGTGGCGTTGCAGGTCTGACACCTTGGGTCACATCCTCCCCACACTGGGTAAAGACTGGACGCACCAGGGTATTGCACGGCTCTACCACAGAGTCAGCCTGTGAGTGCTGCCTTACAGCCTGCACACAGTGTACAGAGTGCAGCTGTAAGGAAATCTGATGAAATCAGCTTTTATAATGCAAATATCACTCACATTCGTTTGTTTAGTTCATTGTTTATTTTCCTTTAAGTGAAATAGAAAATATGTTTTATATCTATCTTCCTCAACACGACTGGTTATAATTCTCACAGTACACAGCTAAGCACAAGCTCTCTCTGTGTCACAGGAATGGATATAAATTCATGTACTGCTCGGCGAGGGCCATCGGCATGGCTGACATGACGCGAGGTTACCTGCACTGGGTCAATGAGAGGGGAACCATGCTGCCAATGGGGCCAGTGCTGCTCAGCCCCAGCAGTCTGTTTTCTGCCTTGCACAGGTCAGACACACTCCATGTGTATGACAAATCCCACAGAGAGTAATAAGACTTCATGTGACCTTGAAGCCAAAAAACAAAACAAAATATTTAGCTTATAATAATAGCTTCTTTTTGTATTATGTATGCACTTACACAGAGATAGAAAAGGCAGGGCATTCTGCTGTTGTCATGTAGAATATATGATTTCACTTTACATACCGCATGATCAACTAGGGGTTGAAATAAAAATTTGCATCTCTCAGCTGTTGCCTTTCAAAACCTCCACTGAATGGACAAAGTAAAATGTGCAAAATCTAAAGAAACAAATAAAAACAAATAAAAATATGTTTATATTATATGTTGTGTTATACAGGGAGGTGATTGAGAAGAAACCAGAGAAGTTTAAGATCGAGTGTCTTACAGACATCAAGCACCTTTTCTACCCAAACACTGAACCTTTCTATGCTGCATTTGGCAACAGAGCTACAGTAAGTCTGCTACAAACACATACATACACACACGCACACGCACACGCGCACGCACACACACACGCGCACACACACACACACGCACACACGCACAGGCACTGAGGACTGCATTGACCCTTAAGAGCCCTTTTTGCCTCTTGATATGAATTATATATAATGTGATGGTAATACAGATTATGTCTGTGTACTATTTGAAATAACATTAGTTGTTCATAATTTGACCTCATAACGTTTGCTTTTAGTTGTGACGCTGATCATTTGTGTATGTGTGATTTCAGGATGTGTATTCATATAAGGAGGTGGGCGTTCCTCTGAATAGGATATTTACTGTCAATCCCAAGGGGGAGCTGATACAGGAGCATGCCAAAACCAATATCTCCTCGTAAGCTACATTCTCTGTTTCTTTTGATTTTCCTCCATGTAATCTGACTCTGCACACATGTGTACACAGATGTCTGAATGTCTGAATTCTGGTTGTATACATACATTTCAAATCTGTAAATGTGTGTGTGTGTGTCTCCCTCTCAGCTATGGGCGTCTCTGCGATATGGTCGACCACGTCTTCCCAGTCCTAGTTAAAGATGAGGAAGCAGACTTCCCCTGCTCTGACACTTTTGGCCAGTGCAACTACTGGACCAAACAACTTCCTGATGATACCAACCAGGAAGAAGACGACCCACAGCCCCTTGAGACAAGCTGAGGAAACCCCATTGAATCCAGAAGCGAGGTTGCTGTCCGCCATCCTACAACGCTGTGGTCAGTGTTTTGTGATTCATCATGAAGCCGGCAGACCAGATTAAGAGTGAAGATGCTGATTGTTTTAGAATCAAAGACTTATCTAGGAACTGTGTGGGGAAGACGTATATGATAAACGAATTGAGCTCTGTGGCTCCTTCAAGGCTCAAAGATGTTACTTAAGATAAGTAACTGCAACTGCTGATTCAAAGTAGATGAAGGTGTTTTCAATATTCCACATTAACAAATCATTGTGCCATCATTCAACAGTGAGAACACAAGCAGTCCCCAAAACTCACACCATAAAACCCCAAAGTAGGAAGCCATATTACAGTGAATCTATGGTTGTGTTTAAGATGAAAAGAAAAAGGAGGAACAAACCTCAGAAAGCTGCACTAATAGCAAAAACACAGGAAACCATAAGACTGCTGTGTCAGAAAAAGAGTTAATGAAAAAAAACTGGTGGTTGTGCCTGAGGCTCAACGCAGGATCAAAAAGTCACATATCATACATTTGCAAGGGTACTGACTCACAACACACACAAACATCAGTAAAACTTGTAAAGGCATTACACTGACAATGCACAACACTGCAGAACACAAGTATAACTGTTACCATTCTCTCCTTCATCCCACACCACTCACTCACTGTATTTTCACTGGTGAATAGAAAAGCTGCCACACAAAACACACGCTGTGTGTGAAAGTTTCTGTCGGGGATGCACCAGTATAGGCTGGTATTAAATCTGTTTCTCCTAATATCACCTAATACCCACTGTTTTCTGAATTTTATACAAAACACGTCCTCATAGACATGCCTATCTTCAAATGAGTCCCAAAGCGTTGGGTAAAGTTCACTAAAACATGGGGGCTTGTCCATGTAAATTGACACAATGCTACTAAAGCAACCCTTCCAGATTACATACACTACCAGCGTCCACAGCAGATAATAAAATATAAAATTACTTATACAATTCAGCTTTCCAAATCTCAAATCAGCCTCTTGGTGCATCACTCATTTTTTATACTTTTTAGGAAAGAATACTCGCTTTTTTTAACCATTAAATGTAGTCGAGACTCCGAATCTTAGCTAAAGTTTTATCTGATCCAGGTATGTGGCTGTAGCCATTTTTCCTGGCCTCAAGTACAGCAGATACAGCACAACACTTTGCACACGAAACACCACATTACATTACAGTGAAACCATCTGGAACACGCAACAATTGCACAGATAGTGTATCCAGTCATCTTCTGTGTCCAAACCTCTCTGCAGGTCCAGCTAAATGACTGTGGTGTTTTGACCATGCTACTGTGAAACATGTGGCTCGAGCACATTTTCTAACAGGTGTACAGTGACTATACTCAAGCTAAATGCAGGACAATGCAACTAACTTCAGTCTGTGTTCTTTATGTCTCTTTTTATAAGCACGAATAAATTAACTCCAGTGATATGCTAGAATGTAGGACATAAATCACTCACATTGTGTGTTATTGTAATGACTAATGCTCATCAATGCAATCACTGTGTAAGCTCATACAGGATATGGTCATGTATTTTGAGTTTAGTGATGTTGTCACTGCACAGATCAGTATACTTTTATGTAGAGCACTAATCTGCCCTGTAGTGGAGAATTAAATGCAGTATATTTAGATGCTGTGAGGTTTTCGCTTCACAAATGCATCTATTTTTTGTTGTTTGTATATATTTCTTTCATTTATCATATGTTTATGTTTTCATCCACTGATCAAATAACATTTACTGTAATGCATTTATGGGAGATGGAAGCCTGTCTGTTCATTTTTACCACATGTATAACTTAAAATGGGGGAAACCACTGTAAATAATGAATAATGTTAATTCTTTTGACCATATGAAGTGAACTTTAAAAAAAAAAAAAAAAAGCTTTTGAGAGCTGCAACATTGTCTCCAACACAATAAATCTCTCTATTAAACCAACTGTCACCTGTTGCACTAAGAGGTGGCAGATTCACTATCTGACCACTAAAGCAATAGATCAACATGGACTATATTAGGAAAGTCAATAGGTCGGTTGTCTCTTTCCTGATGTAATGTCAGATGTTAATCCTATGACATTTTGTTTCATTTGCTGCCTCTGGTTTATCATTGGCATTGAGCTGGCTAGTTACACAAAGTGCAAACTACTTGCACTTTTTCCAACATCAAGAGGAGCATCATCAACCCATGTAAAACCTCCTCTGTTTATGTTATGATTTTAAATCATCTTAAAAAAAACATTTAATCTCAAAGTAATTCAACAAATTTTTGTTGGAATTTGCAAACAATATTTGTACTCTGATATTTATGTCGTATATTGAAAAAAGGTGAAATCAAAACACCAGAAGACTGTTAACAAGACCTGTGATTGATTTTGACTAAGTCTGTTATACTGTTCATACATAGGATAGAAATGTCTGATGCTGTGATTGACTTTACGTAAAAGGAAAACTAATCAGGAATTTAAGTGAATGATGTTCATATGCCTTTGAAGAATCCTGTGCTATTTGTGTAAGGGGAAAAGATGCATGTTGTTGTAATGCTAAGATGCATATTTACATGTATGTAATGACAACTGTCTTGTCACCTAATCTTTGTAAGGACGTACACTCTATATCACTTAAAAAAAAGATTAAATTATTTGGCTTCCCTATGGCATAATTATAAGATAATTTCCCCACATTTATGAGATAACAGCTGTCAATGCTTTGACATAATTTAGTAGTTTTATTAGTATCATGCACCAAAATGTTAAGTTGTAATTAATCAGGCCAAAAGCGATGATCTATTTGATCTGTGTGAGGTCGGTGTCACTTATCATAAAATCCTTCTGCTATATTTTTCTCACCATTATGTGACAATTTCTTGTAATTAGAGTATAAAGATCTCCCATTTATAAGATCTCAATTATGAAATATGGAAGTCAAAAGTAAGAGAAGATGATTTTTCTTCTTCATGAATGCAATGTTCTTCCCAAACTTTTAGTAGAGTAAATCATCTTTTTGATGGTTATCACCTAATTCTTTCTGTGAAAGATCTATTAAAGGTCTTGACTAGTTATCCAGTCTGTCTCTGTTGACATGAATGTCGGTCCAGTTTGCTGTCCTGTGTAATGTAAATGTTGGGAACTAAGCTTCCAAGCAGTGTGCAGTGCAAGCCATTGTTAAAAGCAGTTTGAATTAATCTGTGCAATGGACAGTTTTCAATAAACTCAAATTTGATTGCTACTTAGTGTTACACTTATTTGTTTGTGTGTGTGTGTGTGTGTTTCTTTCTTTCTTCTCTTTCACCTCAGACATAAAGATGAACAGAAATTACATTGAGTAGTATCCTCATAATGCTTTCTCCATCACTGTATTTATGGTTTTATTTAACTAATCAACCAACCTCTTGCCACTGGAAGATTGTTAGCTGTTAATGGATCAGTTTTTCCTCTGGTGTCTTTATAGTCCAGCTTCAAGGAGGGAAGGAAAGGGGGAGACAAGGATGTAAACGACATGAGGGAGGAAAGGAAACATTTAATCAAACAAAGTAATTTTTAAATTAAGTCAAACCCCTTTCCCTGTGTTCCAGCTGTCTCCCTTCGCCACATTATCCTGTTCCCTCCAAATGCAGACTTCTCTTTTCTCGCCACCCTTTTTGTTTTAAATCTCAATTCCATTTCATAGATGAGAAAACACAAAAGCACACATTGTGTTAGTTTTGTATAAACAGGAAATATAGTCTCTTTCCTTTCCTCTCTCTCTCTCAAACATCTTAACCACATTCCTTCTACTTCTCCATTTCAGCCCTGCCCCCTTGTAACCTAACACACACACACACACACACACACACACACACACACACACACACACACACACACACACACACACACACACAGGGAGGGAGGGAGGGAGGGAGGGAGAGAAAGAGAGAGAGAGCTCGTCCTTCCTCCTCCCCTCCTCTGTGTTATTACTGGAGTGAAGAAAAGGTGGAGTCTCTCATAGGAGTTGACCAATTTGGTTCTCATTCAGAGACTTCCAAAATCATTTCTTTTCAAAGGTCACACACTCCTACCAAGCAAGCAATTAACACAAGTAACTATTCTTTTGTGGTGTCTTTTACAGTTACTTATAAGTGCATTACAACTCATTTTAGGTCATGGGGCTAAGAGTAAGAGGACAGCTTTGCTTGACACAAGAGTTCGACAACAGAACAGAATCTGTCCTAGTAATAATATTATTTTGTCCACCCGTTTTATGTAAATTAGGGTAGGTTTAATAACAGGAACACCTCTTGGTGCAATGCAATGCAGTTCAACAGCATCACAAACTACATCCTCCAAAATGATGGTGCAGGAGAGTTGATTCACCACCTCTCTAAAACAGTTTCATCACAAAAAATGATCATTATATCGTTCATGAAGTATGTTGTATTATTTCTAGTCAGGTATACCTAACAGACTCGCAGCTGAGTGTCTTTCATAATTTCATTGATGACTTGTTGAAGACACCACTCTTTACAGCAAATCACTCCGCCATGCTAAACAGTTGTCAATGCAAGAAGTAGTTCCTTTCAAAACGACGTTAAGGGCATTTTTATATGGATACAATTTCTTCAATTATGTCCACCATCACAGTAAACAACAATAAAGTAAGTTTATCCACAAATGATGATTAGCAAATAAAATATCTGCTCTCAATCAGCTCAAGTCCAAAACAAACCGATCGTTCACAGATCACCCATCAGTGTTACACTGCTCCAGATGTGAACAGTGTGAGTCATTACTCGAGCAAACACTGGACTACGGCACCGACTACACAGCTGCACAAGGTCTGGCTCTTCTTTTGTTTTTTACAGCTTTGCCTGGGTTGCGACACTTACAAAATAATGTGCACTATTATAATGGTCACTAACAGTAAACAGTCAACTCCGATTCACGAAGTATGACTTAAAAACACTAAAACTTGTTTGCAACTTCAGCCGATTGGCGGAAAAACAGATTGCTTGATGTCAACATCAGGATTTGTTGGAGATAAAGTTCATCTAACACACAGATAAACCTCAGATAAACCTCTTTTCTATCCAGCCTGTAAAATTATTCCATTGTGCGTCCTTAACTCCGTGGGTTTTCATATTAAGAGTTTTTTTAACAAGGTTAAATTGTAGCCTATGCAAGTGGTATGTTCTAAGATAAATTGGTATCTACCGCTGTAATGGACGTTTTTACACCTTGTTTTACATATGGTAAAAATAACGGATATTTTTTAAACGACTTCATACCCCATGACTCTCAGCCATATGCTGTTAGAGCTTTATGGGAGCTGTAGGCCTAGTTGTGGAACACCGTTTAAATGAAGAACATATGACTTTTGTGATGTTGACAGTTGTAGGCCTATGTGTCACACAAACAAGTCGTTCTGATGTCGTAATGTACACTGCTTGCAGTAGAAATAAATCAAAACTAATTTCAAACTAAATAGGCTAATTTACATGAAATCTGAATAAAACAGATAAAATTGTTCAAATGGAGTTTGGATCTAGAGGTGATTTTGCTAGATTGTGACTGTTCAGTTTATCCAGGAATAGACCTATAGATAAATTTAGACCTAACTTGACTCATTTTAGTGTAACATGGACGCAACGAATATAAGTGAACGCCCATGTTAATGTTTCAGTCTATGTCTGTGTGTTTGTCCATAAGATGTCTGCTGAGCTCTACTGTATGGGTGGACCAGGTGGGAATAATGCAAGTCTGCAAAGCACCACAGTGGGGGGCAGCAAACCTTTACACCGCTTCATTAAGGGGCAACCGAAGATTATTGGCGTGAGACACACACACTCACACACTCAAATTATTATTTATCAAATAGTGCTTATGATGCATATCTGTATTTCCCCTGTTGACAAATTTAATAACCATTTAAAGTCCCGATTAATCCTTCTATTGTCACAGAAAATAAAAATAAAATAAAATAGAATTGCAGAGGTCATGTTAAACATTGTTTTTGATTCCCTGTCAGATCATTGTGCTGGTCTTGGGCGCCTCCTTTTTTATCCTTTCCATTGCAATAGTGGGAGACAGCGCTGGTCAACCTATATGGACAGCCATCCCGCCTGGGTTCTTGCTGGGAACACTGGTTGGTAGAGACGATTGTTATTTATATTATTAATCAGTGGATCATAGCAGCACATGGAGTCAGAATTTTACTCAACTATTTGTTTTATTTTTTTATATTCTGCCAATTTATCAACTGACAAATAGTAACAGTTTATACAGGATTTGATCGAGGGCTGGTTGTAATTTTAACTCAGAAGTTAAGCACCATCAATTGTCCAGTTTATAAAATCTATTGCACTATTTTGGTATCTGAAAACATTTTTGAGAAAGATAATAATACAATGTTTCTCCTCCTCCTCTTACAGTTCATGATATGTGGGATTCTGTATATTGTGACAGAGCACAACCCGACCAAGAAAACAGTAAGTATTGTATTATTTTTGAAGTGATACCGGCAAGCTTTCCAAGAAGGACCAAGAGAGCTCTGCAGATAAGACAGTTGATTAAAAATCCCATCCAGACATGCATTCAGACATATAAAAATAGTTTGACTGATATGGTTTTTCCCACTAAACATTTGAATTACTTGTTTAAGAGCTCTTAAAAGTACATAAAGCCGACTACAAAATCCACAATTTATTTAGTTGTCAGTCAGTCACTCTATTGATCAATGAAACAGTATAATTAACTGATTTGTTTGCAGGGCTCCCATCTTGTCTATATAGAGTGGCAAGAAAAAATAAGTCAATGCTTTGGAATTACCTCCATTTATGTTTGAATGTATCCAAAATATGGTCAGGTCTTCACCCAAGTTACAATAATGAACAAGCACAATCTAATTTATCTAATATCACACAAATCATTGTGTTGTTTTTGTCCATATTGAAAACATCATTCAAACAGATACAGTGCAGGTTGAAAAGAGTATGTGAACCCCTCAGTCAATGACATTAACGAAAGCTGATTGGAGTCAGGAGTTGGGATACCTGGAGTTCAATCGATGACCCATGAATGGATGGGTTAGAGCTACTTTGACTTATAAAAAAACATTTAAGCATTTTGAGCTTGCTACTTACAGGAGGCATCTGCCAATGTGAACTATGCCTCTCAAAAAAGATCTCAGGGGACTTGCAATCAAGAACTGTTGATTTGTATAAAGCTGAAAGAGTTATTAAGTCATCTCAAAGAGTTTAGATACTCATTAGTCCACAGTCAGAGAAACTGTCTATCAATTTAGATGATTTAGTTCTGTGGCTATTCTCCCTCGAAGTGGGCGTCCAGCTAAGGTGTCTCCAAAAGTGCAAATGTAGAATGATCAGTAATGTAACAAATAACCCCACAGTAACAGCTAAAGGCTTAAACGAGCTTGGAGAGATTGGAGACTGGAGCTGGTTCACATCTCTGTTCATAAGTCTACCATACGCAAATCGTAATATTACATTAAGGACGCTGTGTTAGTCTACATTTGTGACTTAGACAAAGATCAGATCATATTTTATGATCAATTAGTGCAGAAAACCAGGTGAATTCCAAAGGGTTCACATACATTTTTCTTGCCACTGTACTGTATGAAGTATTGCCAATATTTGTAAGTTTCTGTCTCTTTGTCCTTCATCTGTCTCTGCTGGTGTCTACATGTAGGTCACCATATCGTTGGCTCTGAGTGTTGTGACAATACTTGGGGTATTTTGGACTATTTTGCACATCCTGCCCGAATTAATACACAGCCACTACGTCAGGCACTATGACTTTCCTGAAGACGATACAACAGAGAATGATGATGTAGCATGGACATCATCTCATGAGGTGATTATAATTTTTATAGTTTGTTTGTATTTTTTGTTTCTCTTGAAAGTAGTGTCCATTATAATCTTGACAGCAAATCTAAAGCAAGTTTTAGCTTTTAGATTTCTTTGTTGAATTAAGGCTCGTAAACGACATACAGTTTGTGTATCTTGGTGTCAAAAACTTCACCCTCAGATGGTCAGCCTTTCAGGATTTGTGACACTTGAGGACCGACAAACAGCGCATGATACATTTTAAATATTTCATTTGTTGTTAGCTCAAAGCACATTCATATATATCATAGCGTCCAGCATATAAAAGATAGTATTTAAAAAGCACACATAGTCCAATAAAAACATTTAAAAAACAAACAAACATAATATTTCCCTAAAAGCTGTTATTCAATTACTGTAACAGACAAGTAATGCTCACCACTCTGCACTCTGAGTTTCTATTCTTTTAACATTAATAATGTTTTCATAGTATAATTCTAGTTGCTTCTTTTTTCCATACACTTGATCTATGTATTTTCACATTAAAAACCTACTTATAAAAGCAAGGCTGCAAGAAATTAAAATCTGAAAATTCTGGAGTAAATGTTGAGATTAATTTTAGAGGCAGGGTACACCAGGCAATCACAAGGCACAATCACAGACAACCATTCTCACATTTGAGTAATGTAGAGTCACCAGTTGAACCTAACCTGAAGGCAAAAGGAGAACATGCAAACTTCACAGAAAAGGCCCCAGCTGACCAGTGAGTTTGTACCCAGACCCTCCTTGCTGTGAGGTGACAGTGTTAACTACTGTACCATTGTACCCCCCATAACACTGAATTGAGACAACAAATAAACAAGGAGGAATTGTTGAGTTTGCGTTCACTGGGAAACAGCAGTTTGCTGTATTTTGCCTGTAGTTTTCTGTTTTCCTATGATTAACTCATGTTTTAAATGATGTATTTATTTAATATCAAATAATTTAGCCACCACACATTATTTTTGAAAAATGATAATCATCTGACGGTGTAATACGTTTCAGTGTGGCCCAAATATGTGTACACAAAATTTCATTTCATTTAATTCAAATCAGTTGTATGTTTTTGTCAGACTGTATTTTTTAGATTGTGTGTGTGTGTGTATGTGTGTGTGTGTGTGTGTGTGTGTGTGTGTCTTTGTCTAGGCCATGGGATTGGTTGTGGAGGCGACCTTTGTATTCTACAGTTTTGTTGGTGCAATTATTTTCATTGTAATGTCAACTCTGGCCGGTGCTGCTCTGCGTTCCACAAACAGCCAGGTAAAACCACATAAAAAACACCTCCACACACATAACACACAGTGCTGAGACCTGTGTGTGACAGGTCACTGAGAGACTATGTCACAATATTTGCTAGGCTTAAACAAAGTTGCAACATGACTTACGACCAGTTAAGGCAACCATGAGAGTGCTCTTCTTTCTCCTCTCTTTAGGCCATTGTAGTGATGACTACTGCACCACCTGAAACTCCAGCTGAATGACGAGGACAAGACGGAGGCCTGCAGACAAATTGTACAGAGAGAAGAAATAGGAAGCATACAAAGACAGCAAAATATTTCTCTTAGTGGACACAACATAATATTTGACTCCCTAAATACTACCCAGTTCTCACTAGCATGTTGTGGTCATTGTAGACATTGCAATATAGATTGTATATGTATATGTGATATGTGTTGCCTTGTGGTGTTTCTCTGATCTATTACAATAGTTTTTCTTTTAAACATTTGCCACCAGAATCACCTGGATGATGGCATCCAACTTTCCCCACCGCATAGACTATTAACTGCTACTTACTCTGCAGTCTGGCATTTACTGACCTAGTTTCACATTATGTTTATGTGACTACACCACAGGACAAAAGTCTGGATGAAACCAATGTCCTCCTGAGATTGTTCAAAAAAACTTCTGTAGTTTTAATTTCTGAAAAGTAATCAAGTTATGAGTCAAGGGCAGGCTCAAACTGGGGTAAGGATGCTAGTGCTCTTGTCACAGTACCAGATTAAAAAACAAAAAAAAAACATAAAGGCAAACTTTGTAAATACTAATTTTGTATCATCTTACATTGCGCTTTATAAATGGGCTATAGGTCCTTTACTAATACCTGATAGATCAGTCATGACCCCATATTGAGAGAACTTCCTCTCCAACTAGTGCTTATACTCAGTCAGCATGATATTATTTGCTTTGTCTTAAACCACTCCAGTGGATCAGTTTGCTTCCAGACCTCTGAATCACTTCTGACCTCTCCAATTTTTCAGCATTTCAAATACTGTATTCCAAATGGAATTCAGTCTTATTATCAGGCAACTGTTTGACTACCTTTTGAAAGTGCTGCAGTGTTATAAATCTCAAAATTATTAACCATTAATGACTAATTAACATTTATAATTCCAGAGGCGTTACAAATTTGTGCTTTTGGCTTATAATACGAAAACTCCTTGGAACAATTTGGTTTGCCAACATCTTAAAACCATTATTACCAAATGGAAACATACATTTTATGAGTAGAGAGAAAACTTTTTATATTCAAACAACAGAGTGGGAAAGACTAAACATGAAAATGTGAAAATATAATGTGAACAACTCCAACCACAAACATGTCACCTCTGATTAACTGTTTTCTGTGTTTTTACGATCTGAACGATGTGATCCTTTTCTACCTTCCACCTGTCTCTTACAGTAGAAGTTTGGCAAGTTTTGGCAGAACATGCACAGAACATCATGGCTGCCCTTGGAACTTTTATTTATTATTTACCATGTCAGCTCATGTTTCAGCAGCACCTTTGTTAAGTACATGCACTGTGATACTCAATGTACTGTACTCCCTTACAGGGGACAGCATTTGAGACACAGAGAACAGGGAGTGCTATGTTTTTTGTCACCATATGTTTGCAAAAAGCCTTTTAGGTGACATTTTGATTTTGGATTCAATTTACCAAAATAAAAGGAAAACAGACTAAAAGTTAGAATACATTTGTCTGTACAGACTAGACTTGACAGAATAGTTTCTGGTTCTGTTTTTTATTTAATTTAATATTGTCATAAGAAAAAAGGTCAATTTCACATTTTCACTTTGAGTAGAGAATAATACAAATCAAACGTGCATACAAACACATGAAGTTCATGTGTTCATAACCAAAATATAGCTAAGAAAAAGCAACAAAAAATGTATCTAAAATTGAGTCCATCACATCTTGTCAAATACACACTGTACATTAGACATACATAACAATAGATCTACGAGGACAAGCTTTCTCTATCGATTTTAATTTAAAAAAGCAGTTGTAATTAATCTCTAGTTTTTTTGTGTCCTCTAGATTACACACCATATGGACATGCATAAATTAAGGAATGGAAATGCCATTAAAATTGTTTTTGTCATATGATAATTACATTTGCCATTTGCCACTTTATGAGCACAGTTTGACAGCCTACACAGTCCAAACAGGGAATATGAGTCACATCTGACATGTGAAAGACAACTGGTAACTGTTTAGGATGTACTGTGTAAACTCAAGAGAAATACAGTGTGAAGTAACTTCATACATAATTTGCAAGTGTTATATCTCTGTGTATGGTGGACTGTGATCAAACTGTACTCACCATGGTTTGAGACACTGTCTGTACTGTTTTTGGGTTTGCTGAGTCACACTCAGACGTCCTGCTGACGAAGCAGGTGCCTAAAAAAAGTATCACCTCAGGAAAAACAGTATTCACAATAGTGTAATCATCTTTGCTATAGTTCTGAAATGTGGAAATTTGTGGTTATGGATTTGCAACTATCAGCTGCCAGTGAAAATATAGTCTATAGTCTGTCCTTGTGGTTATTACACTGGAGTGCCTACTGATTACGGGTACTCTATAGCACTGAATGGAATGGAGTCATGTGTGTAAATCTGGCCACAAATTAGCTACCAACATTGTGTTAACATGTTAAGGTAGGAAGACGCATTAAAATGAGAGTACATTATGTATGTACTGTATGTATGTATGTATGTATGTATGTATGTATGTATGTACTGTATGTATGTATGTATGTATACCTCTGGTCATAATTTTATTTTTATTTTCTTTATTATTAACATTTTAATTATAGCCCATCTTTTCTGCTGTGGACTGCAGTAAATACTTGCTAGAGAAGAATAAACTCTCTGAAAACAAACTCTTTTGAAAACAACAAAGAAAAAACAAAGAAAAAACAAGCATGTTTTTTGGTAGCAAACAATTGCCTATTTACACATCTAGCAGAGACAGAGAAACATTACCATTCATTTGGAGTCCTGTGTCAGGCCACCTGCTGAATGTAGGCTCAATATTTACTCTCTTATCTCTCTTTTTGGTCTCTACCAACTCCTGAGGGAAATCTTTGGCTCTGGCAAAACAGTAAAGTTGTCGACTGTAAAACCTAAAACATTTGCTGAGAGACAAAGATCTGCAGGAAGAATGGGGTGATAATTTAAACATTCACATAAAAAAGTAGTTGTTTTCAATTGTTAAAATAAAAATATAGATTATAGCTGCTTTGAGCAATTTATTTGTTTACTATATATTCTTTATTTTTTCTTATTTGGAATGGCCAATTTTATTGCACTACAACATTAACAGGATTAACTCCCATTGTTGGCCTCCAGAGAGTATACAAACCCATGAATTCTGAAATTAATCTCAGATCTTAATCTCAAAAATGCCCTAATTCTCTTCCATCTCAGATGTATTTGCAAAATATGGAAGAAAATTATTGTTATCCTAAACTACTGAAAACAAACAAAAACATTTGAATAATACTGTCATAGAAAGACAGGAAAATACACTTCACTTTTGCGATGTCGCCGCATAGTCTCAAATTGAAGAAGTAGGGGGCTTGTGAAAGTCATTCCTCAGGGTACACCGCTGGTGAACACGCATGTGCTCTGTGACACGGTACTGGCGTGAAAAGGTCATAGGGCAGCAGGGGCAGGGGAAAGGCCGTACGCCAAGGTGGCTCCGCACATGTCTATTCAGAGAGCCTCGCTGGCTGAAGGAACGGTCACACAGAGAACACTGGAAAGGTTGGTGAAGAGGAGTTGACAGATGAGCTGATATATTTGTTGGCATGCTGGCTGAAAGGGTAGGAGCTATGCAGACAGACAAGGTAGATGACCTGGATGCTTGTACAGTGTCTGGCACACTAAGGGGTGAACAGACTGTCAGGGTACGGCTCTGGTTCTCACCCTCTTTAGGGTTGGAAACCTCCTCCACAGCCCCAGCTTTATGTATGGCGCCAGCTCCTGGCCTACTTTGGGCTTTACCAACAGATTTTCCTTCTCCAACATTTGTCGCTGCAACCCAAGATTGAGTGTCACCTTCATCAAAACTCTCAGCCCCAAATTTTGTTCTGGCTCTAATTTTTCTCTTGTCAACTCCTCCTTCATTCCTCTGTCCTTTGTCATTATTCCTGACTCCATTTCCAAATGTGCCACTTCTCTCCTCTTCTTCAGATCCATGGGACACATGCATTTCAGCAGGTTTGGCGCTAATGTCCAGTAGTAGAACCTGGTCTGTCGTTGCTGTAGCATAGTGCTGCCTCAGAGGACTGTGACCTGGACTGGATAAGCTCATTGCCTCCTCCTCATCACTGGACTGGTCAGAATGATCGGGGTGGCTGGTGTGGGAGCATTTGTGATCAGAGTCTTCGTGCATGAAGTGCGTGTCCTCCTGGGGTAGGCAGTGATAATGAAGATGCCCATGGTATGACTGCCCCGCAAGACTATATATTGAGTCAGACATGTTGCTGTCCACAGGCATTGTAAAAGTTAAGTGTGGCTCTGTGATTTCAGTGTCTGAGATCTTTTCATGGTCCAGAGAGGTGCGCCGTTCAAAGGCAAAGAAACCGCCAGTCACATTATCCAAATTTGATTCTGGTGTAGTAGAGAAAGGTAGACAAACATCAGAACTCTGTCTTTCGTCTTCCATAACTGTGCCTCTGTTGTCTTTTGGGTACCAATCTGTCTTAGGTCCATAGACGTTACAGTGGAGGTCCTGTCTATTGATTTCAGCTGGACACCTGCTAGAGTAACTGTGTTCCTCTTTGGTATTTCCAGTGGGACAACAATCTTCACAGTGAGAGTCACTTCTTGTGTCTGAGTCCTGCATAGTTCTTGGATATTGTGAGAGCTCCTCTGCTCCAGCTGACATTGAAACATCGTGGCAATCAGACCAATCCAGTGACTGATGTTTGGACGGCAAATCATCAAAACTGAGCTCAGTTTTATTCTTAAATCCCCTGATGAAATCACTGCAAACCTTATTCTGTGTCACTGAATCATCTCTAAGATGTTTTGTGTGATTCTTATTCTGAAATAAATCACAATGAGCATGGTGGTCATTAAGGTCTGTAATGTGGGATAATGTGTTGTCCAATTGTTCATCATTCTGTTTCATAAAACAACCTACATTGCTGCTGTTGTAATCCTGTTCTAGTGTGTCAGATTGATCTGCACTGGATTTGTAACATAAAGCCTGCATTGCACATTGATCTGAACTATTCTGGTAATCCCAACACTGTGTTCCAGTGTGGGTTTTTTTGTTTTCGTAATCCTGATTCTGTACCTCATAGTGATTTTTGTGTTTAGTAGTAATACCTTGATCAATGCTGTCATTGTCTATGCTTGCTGATTGTGAGACAGGG